CAAAAGAAATCTGATTTCTGTAGGACAGCTTGATGGAGAAGGATATAACACACTTTTTTCAGGCTGTGAATGGAAGATTACCAAAGGAGCACTCGTCATTGCTCGTGGTAAGAAGAATGGTACTCTCTATGTAACCTCAAATTTAGAGAATATCATTGTTGCAGCAGATGCTGATGGAAAATCAAACCTATGGCACCAAAGGCTTGGTCATATGAGCGAAAAAGGGATGAAGACACTTTTGTCAAAAGGGAAGCTGCTGGATCTAAAGAATGTAGATGTCGGACTATACGATGATTGCATCTTTGGCAAACAAAAGAAAGTCAGCTTTGCAAATATTGGTAAGACACCCAAGGCTGAAAAATTAGAGTTGGTTTATATTGATGTATGGGGACCATCTCTAGTTCCATCTCTTGCAGTCTCATTATATTATGTCACCTTCATCGACGATTCTACAAGGAAGGTGTGGGTTTATTTTCTGAAGAAGAAATCAGAAGTCTTTGATACCTTCAGAAAATGGAAGGCCATGGTGGAAAATGAGACTGGTCTGAAAGTCAAGCGGTTGAGGTCTAACAATGGAGTAGAGTACAAAAATAGGAGATTCAGAGATTTCTGCGCAAACAATGGGATCAAGATGGAGACAACAGTTCCCATGACACCGCAGCAGAATGGCGTAGCAGAGCGCATGAACAGAACTCTGAATGAACGTGCCAGAAGCATGAGGATACATGCCGGACTACCCAAATTTCTATGGGCTGAAGCTATCAACACTGCAGCTTACCTGATCAACCGTGGGCCCTTAGTTCCTTTGGATGGCAGAATACCAGAGGAAGTTTGGAGCAAGAAAGAAATAAACCTTTCACACTTAAGAGTGTTTGGTTGTATTTCTTATATACACATAGACTCTGCTGAAAGAAGTAAACTTGATGCTAAGTCCAACAAATGTGCCTTTGTTGGTTATGGCGGTGATGAGTTCGGTTACCGGTTTTAGGACTATGAAAATCGAAAGATCATCAGAAACAGAGATGTTATTTTCAATGAGAATGTGATGTACAAAGACAGGTCAACTGTAGAATCAAGTAGCTCAAATACCAAAGCTGAAACAAAGGAATTTACTGAGTTCGAGGAGATTTCTAGAAATAATGTTCAGATCAATCCTGAAGCAGTTCAAGAAGAACCAAGCACACCAGAACTGAGACGCTCCTCCAGAATTCCTAAACCAACCCAACGGTATTCTCCTTCTTTGCACTACTTGTTGATGACCGACAATGGTGAACCAGAGTGCTATGATGAAGCAATGCAAGTGGGAGGATTCAGTCAAGTGGGAGTCTTCCATGAAAGATGAGATGGACTCGCTTATGTCAAATCAGACATGAGAATTAGCTGAATTACCACCAGCAAGAAAGTGCTCCACAACAAGTGGATTTACAGGATCAAAGAAGAGTACGATAGGAGCAAACGCTACAAAGCAAGATTGGTTGTCAAAGGCTTTCAGCAAAAAAGAAGGTATTGACTACAATGAAATTTTCTCTCCAGTCGTAAAACTATCTACAATTAGACTGGTGTTGAAAATTGTAGCTGCAGAGAATCTACATCTTGAGCAGTTAGATGTAAAGACAGCTTTCCTTCATGGTGATTTGGAGGAAGAAATCTATATGAGGCATCCAAAAGGTTTTATAGAGGCAAACAAGAAAAACCTGGTATGCAGGTTGAAGAAGAGCTTGTATGGTTTAAAACAAACTCCTAGACAGTGGTACAAGAAGTTCGATAGCTTCATGGGTAATAGTGGTTTTACCAGATGTCAAGCAGATCATTGTTGCTACATCAAAAAGTTCGACAACAACTTCATTATTTTATTATTGTATGTTGATGACATGCTCGTTGCAGGCTCAAACATGCAAGAGATTATAAACTTGAAGCAAAAATTGTCGAAACAGTTTGCTATGAATGATCTGGGCGTTGCGAAGCAGATTCTTGGGATGAGGATTAAGAGAGACACAAAGTCGGGGACTTTGATGTTATCACAGGCTGAGTACATCAACAAAGTACTCTCCAGGTTCAACATGCAAGATGCTAAACCAGTAAGTACACCTTTAGGTGTTCATTTTAGACTCTCCAAAGAACAATCACCAAAGACGGAGGAAGAACGTGAACACATGGTGAAGGTGCCGTATGCCTCAACAATTGGAAGTCTAATGTATGCCATGGTTTGTACCAGACCAGATATTGCTCATGCAGTGGGAGTTGTTAGTAGGTACATGAATAATCCGGGCAAGGTACACTGGGAAGCAGTTAAATGGATCCTCAGATATATGCGGGGTACCACAAACAAAGCACTTTGTTTCAAAGGTGGAGATACGATACTGACAGGCTATGTAGATGCTGACTTAGCCGGAAATGTCGACATCAGAAGGAGCACTACAGGGTATGTCTATACTCTAGGAGGAACCGCAGTAAGTTGGGTTTCTCAACTACAGAAGATAGTTGCTCTCTCTACAACCGAAGTAGAATATGTCGCTGTTACGGAAGCCAGCAAGGAGATGGTCTGGCTCCAAAGTTTCTTGGAAGAGTTAGGCAAGAAACAAGAAAACAATGTCTTGTATTGTGACAGTCAAAGTGCTATACATCTAGCGAAGAATCCGTCTTTTCATTCCAGGACGAAGCACATACAATTGAGATATCATTTTATCCGGTCTCTTCTGGAAGATGGGATTTTGAAACTTGAAAAGATTAGTGGAGCTCAAAATCCGGCATACATGTTAACAAAGACGGTGACTACGGACAAACTGAAGTTGTGTTCAGCTTCAGTTGGCATACTAGAATAACAAGACCCGAAATGATGCTGCATCGATCGAGGTGTAAAGACAAATTAAAATCAGTCTTCAATCGGGAGATTGTTGAAAATTAAAGCACATGGGCTGCTTGGAAAAATGGGGGAGGCTAAATTTTTTATTATTTTGTAATAGGTATAATTACAAAATTGAGTCATTGAACTTTAGGGTATTTTCAAAGATTAGTCCCTAAGTTTCAACTATAAATACCCTAGCTCATTTAGCTTTAAAATCATCCCAAAATCCCAAATCATTTATTTCTCCCAATACTAGAGAGTTTTCTTGTGAGTAGTGAGTGTTTTGTAAACACGTGTAATTTTCTCTCTTAGTAAAAGATCTGCAGCAGTCTGGAGACGTAAGCAAATTGGATGAACTCCGTTATCAATTTCGGGTATTATTTTTCCGCTTTTATTTTGCATTCTCACTAATCTGGTTATAGAGAAATTACTCGTACTCGGTTTATTTCCCAACTATTTGGACAAGCCTTCGTTGTGTCCGAGGAGCAGAAGCTTGACTGGGGAGATATGTTTTACATGAAAAGGCGCCCTTCCAACTTATTTGAGGAAACCTCACTTATTCCCTAATCTCCCACTCACCCTCAGGAAAACCTTGGGAGATTATTCTTTAGATCTCAAACATCTTGCCATGAAACTGTTGGATGTTATGAGAAAAGCTCTAGGGATGAACCCTAATGACATGAGAGTCCTGTTTGAAGAAGGGCTTCAAGCGATGAGGATGAACTATTATCCCCCATGTCCAGAGCCAGAGCTTGCAATTGGTCTATGCACTCATTCTGATCCAATTGGCCTCACCATTCTACTACAGATCAACGAGATGGAAGGCCATCAAGTCAAGAAAGATGGTGCTTGGGTCCCCATTAAACCCCTACAAAATGCTTTTATCGTCAACATCGGAGACATCATGGAGGTAATGATTAATGTCTTTATTGCATGATCAGCCATTGAACAGTACATAATATTATGAAATATCGCAGATTGTATCCAATGGGATATACCCGACCATCCAGCACCGTGCGACCGTGAACTCGGTTAAGGAAAGGCTTTCGATTGCCACGGTTTACAGCCCGAGATTGGATGGAGATGTTTGTCCAGCACCAAGCCTAATTTCTCCACAAAATCAACCGCTCTTCAGGAGAATAGGAGTTGCTGATTACTTCAAAAATCTGTACACACGCGAGCTCCATGGAAACGCCTATTTGGAATTCTTGAGGGTTCAGCCTGAGGGAATCAATAAAAACTAGCATCATAATAAAACACTAGACAGCTTCATTATAAATTAAACTTTGTTTTCTTATCCATGTCATGCTTGTCTTATCATATATAAATGTATAAATTGATTTTTAATTGTTGCTGTGGTGAGTAAGTTTCTGCTGCGTTTCTTGAACCCCTTAATATCAATCAATAAAATATTTATTTTTAAAGTATATATCTTATTAATGAATAGTTTGGTTAAATTTGATATAACTAAATAATACTAACTCGATTGAAAAAGTATTAAAAATGATTTAAGTATTTGATTAAATATCGTATGATTTAATATTTTAGTACAATACATGCACAACCACATTGGCTATTAAATTATCACTGGAACGTTCACACTGTAGTTTCATGCGAAATTCTTCTAGTCAACAGGTACATTCCGAAATGGAACTTTACCTAAAAATGTCCTTGCGTTTCTCGGACGCCGCTCTTGTGATGGCTTCTCATTTTTTCTTCAAATACTTAACAGACAGTAGGCTTATGGTAAAGGAATTATTGGTATTACTTTTGATCCCGAGTTCGAGTATCAAGAATGTCAGTAATGTTCTATATCAAATGTATAACAGTGTTCTTTGAATGGATACCGCGGAGGATAATACATGTAATTTGTTTGTGGCTGCTCAGCTTCAATATTTCCTCCGCAATCAACTCTACTTATAAATGCATACAATTAACTTGTTCCAATTCCTTGGCTTGTTAAGATAAGCTTGGACCAAGTCTAGGAAGACAAATTTTCTTCCTTCATTCACGAAAACTAGTCATCCTTGTGGGGGGTTTTTTCCAAGTTAATTAAATCCTTCTTCCATTTTGTCATGATAAAGAGGAGACTTTTAAGGGGTTTGTATGATGTTTCTCTCCCCTCGATCACTCTATAAATAACAGCTTGATCCCTTCATATGAAATCCACAGCATAGACGTATAACACTTTAGCTTATAGCAGCAAAAATGAGGTTTTTGGCTCTGGTGATTGTGGTCATTTCGGCCTCTGCATTGAGGGCCTCGGCTGATATCGGTTCGCTCATCAGCCAAGAGATGTTCAATGATATGTTAAAGCATCGCAATGATGCAAACTGCCCCGGCAACGGTTTCTATACATACGATGCTTTCGTCGCCGCTGCCAACTCCTTCGGCGCTTTCGGGACTACCGGCGATGTTGATACGCAGAAAAGAGAAATCGCTGCCTTCTTGGCTCAAACTTCCCATGAAACTACAGGTGGGTGGCCAACTGCACCTGACGGTCCTTACGCATGGGGATATTGCTACGTTCAGGAACAGGGAAACCCTGATGATTACTGTGTTCAAAATCAACAATGGCCTTGTGCCCCTGGTAAAAAATATTATGGCCGTGGTCCTATCCAAATCTCATAGTAAGTGTCATCTTTTTCAATGTAAATTGATGGTTTCAAATTCAATCATTTTAATATATGTTGAAAGTTCATTGACCATGACTTTGGCAGCAACTACAACTACGGTCCAGCAGGACAGGCAATAAACGCTGATCTTCTTAATGACCCCGATTTGGTAGCCAAGGACCCGACCATTTCTTTCAAGACCGGTCTTTGGTTCTGGATGACACCACAGTCGCCAAAACCTTCATGTCACGATGTCATCACCGGCCAGTGGAAGCCGTCTGCAGATGACACGGCTGCCGGTCGGGTCCCGGGATATGGGGTCATCACCAACATCATCAATGGTGGCATCGAATGTGGCAAAGGATCCAACCCTCAAGTAGAGGACCGAATCGGGTTTTACAAGAGGTACTGTGACATACTTCAAGTGAGCTACGGCGACAATCTTGACTGCAACAACCAGAGGCCGTTTGCCTAATTATGCACTTCAACCCACACACAAACATATATATAATGGCACATATGAACCACATCATATTTTAAATAATCATATGTATTACTACCACATAGAGATGTGTTTTCTCCGAACCTGGAATAATATCAATATTCAATAAAGAAATAATAATATTGTGTGTGTTGTTCAATGTACAAATCATTCCAAATTAATAAAAAAAGTTTATTATTTTGAGTTTTAATGCAAAATTAAAAATAAAAAAGAGTAAATTATACTAATAGTCCCTTATGTTTTTCATTCGTTCGATTTTGATCATCAATTCAAAAAAGAGTGGTTTTGATCTCTTACATTATCGATCCATTTGATTTTAGTTATTCAACTGTTAACTCCCATTAACGAAAATTTGCGTTGAAAATTAAAAAAATTTAGTCGATTTTAGTCGTTTGATTTTTGTTGTTCGATTTTAATGCAATATTAAAGGACAAGTGTAAAAATTTATGTCAGAGGATACGAATTTAAGAAGTTATATTAAAATTTTTAGAAGATGTGAAATTAGACAATCAATAGAAAATACAATAAAAAAATTTAAAATATAAAAGAATCTAAAAATTCTAAGGGTGCGATTACATCCCAACACCCCTCAGTCCATTCGTGGCACTATTTGCAGTATGCGGATTAACCTTAAATACACTCCCGGTCTTTCAATAACACATTGCAAAATCTGACATCAGATAACAAAACAATACACAATTACACTCATGAGAAGGAAAGGACTGCACGTCCATAACCTTTGAACAAAAGAAAAAAAGAAGCAAACCCCGTAGATTAACAAAAAAAGCTGAAATTGGATGTATGCCTAGAATACAATGCAAATCAGTTCTACTCATACTGGATATGCACTACTTCTTCCACTACCGATACCCGATCCCAAACTCCTGCTCTCAGCTTCCGACTTGCCATGGTTACTATGGCCATGATGTGCATTGGTGCTGTTAGAATTCACATTTATGGCAATATGGCCATTTCGGTTGGCAAGACTATGAAAATCGCCATTATCACTGGGCATTTGGACCATCCCAATACCTTCAGAACGTGCTGAATCTTCACTAGCCTGTATGTCTTCGTTGTAGCCTTTGATCAGTAAATCTGAGCAGTTCTTCCGGCATCCGTGATCATATGGGTTCCTAAACCGACCACCAGCACCCCTTAGGTAGCTATACCGAGTGACATTTGCCATTTCATTTGTTGTTATATTGCGAGATATCTGTAGCAAGGAAAGTACAAAATGAGTCTCTGGAAAGAGTGAACAAATCAAGTATTTTCTCTCCTGTTTCTCAAATCATTCTTGTTGTAAATAAATGAGCTGGATATATTACATTCTATAAAACCAGAGAAATAATTCCGAAATTTGATTACAAAATCTCATGTCATACCTGAGAAGCTTGTACAACAGTCAATGCAGCCACACCAAAGAAGAGGAAAAAATTCACAATTAAAAAGGAAATAGCACCAATATGATGAGAAACAGAATAGTTCATCCATGGGAAGAATGAAGAAGGGGCCGACGGATCCTGCACAATTCCTGCATACGACAAGAACATATGTGGAGGTAGGACAACCAGCGCGGAAAACAAATTTGCTATCTTTGGAAAGTAATTTGAACTTGGAACTGATTAAAAGACATACTTGCAATAGTAACTCCACAAGTAATCAACATCGCTGAAACTTCTAAAACAAGGAAAAGAAAAAAGTCCCGTTTGTTTTTCTGCATCACAAGATACCTAAACGAAATTAATCAACAGATACAATCACCACTCATCAAATAACAAAATGATATCCTCCTTGGACATGAAATTAGCCTATAAGCATAATTGTAACCAACATGCAATCACACATCATTCATATTTGTCTATTGATTTGAAAGAGTCGAGGGTATAAGAGCTTTTAATTCCCTTTATTTTCTAATTGAAGTGCAGGATCTTAAAAGTACAAAAGCTGAAATGTTAAATTTCTAGAGGGGGGGGGGGAAATAAAATAAACAAACACATTAAACTCATCAACAATAAAGCACCTTGCCAACACAATTTGATACCCAAGGGCAATGATGGTCAAATTGTTCAACACAACGATCACAAGTGGAGCAGTGTTTTGCACGAAGAGGCCTGACAATCTGATAATCATGTTAAATAACATAGCAAAATAATCAGAAATTATCAAATGAGTAACGTAAACAATAAAGGGTAGATTAGGTGAGCACCTTGCATGTCGCACAAAGTTGAGACCAATTTCCAGCTAGCAAAGAAGGATTATTTGTCTCGATCTTCAATAATGGTTCCTAGCAGAATAGATAGGAGAAATATGTTACATAGAGGAAAACTACATCAATTGTCTAAAAGAAAAGATACATCTAGGATATAAAGAAACAAAATATATAGGACTGATAACAATTACATTTCAAGAGGACAAGAAAACAAATAAAACAAAACCAGTTGGGCTTTGTAAGGAAAAACCGAACACACATCATCTTTCATAGTCTGGGGATCATGGACATTTGTCTTGAGGTAACCAGGATCCTTGCTGCAAAGAAAAATAAAATGTTAAAACAACTAGATAAGTAAGCTCCCCTCAATGAATCTCAATACTAGCAAATACATGCAGTGATGCAGACTATAGCACAGCTAGGCATAAACATGATATACACCTAGTCCCACTTTTCTTAGAGAGAATGACCTGACTAAATCAAGAAACGAGAAAATAACAAGATATACTTCAATTTTGATAATGCATCTCACATCATCTTATGGATTCATAGACACTGCCCCTGTAAATTTCAGAGTTCAAACCAAATGTATTCAGTGCCGCAATGACCCGACAGACTTTCTGAAATTAGAAATGACCACCTAATAGAATATACCTGGTACACCTATAAAACATAACCAAACCGGTAGATGCTAGGATAACACCAAACCATGCCAGAAGGCTAAACCCAGCTGTCAAATTTGGCAGATTGGAATCTGCAGCAAATGTCCAAAAAGCAAGTTTTTTTTTTGATAAGAGTCCAAAAAGCAAGTTAATAGGTCATAAAGAGACAGAGACAGGTAATGTCTTATGAAACAATTAACTTTCATGAAGAGATCAAAAGGCATACTCATTATGACAGAGTGAATATAGGTCGCCAGTAGTAGCAAGATAATGCACCAAAGAAGTGGTGCAAGTCTTAATCTCGTCAATCGTCCAAAACGGCTGTTCCCATCACATCGTTTTTCAAGAATCCTTCTAGCATTTTCCTGCAGTATCAGATGTACAAAAAACATTAATAGGTGGGGTGTAATTCAGCTGATTTCATAAGCATGCCATCTTAATGATACAGAACAGCTAGAAGACAAATTAAGCCAGTTATAGAGTAATTTTCCAGCCTTAATAGAAACAACTAAAAATACCAATCAAAAAAAATAATGATGGCATCCTAATATGTCCATAGTGAAGTCACAAATTTTCAGATGCCACTCCCATGTTGCACATATACAAGGAAAGGTACAAGGTTCACTATTTAAGAACAAAATTACTATTACTTGAGAAATCCCAGTTCATAAACCTTAATGCATCATAAAGGTGAGGAAAATGCTTTGAGTTTGAAAATGCATAAGGAATCAATCATTTCAAGATGCTCCCTGAAATTTAAATGGATACAAAACACATTTTGGACATTTATGTAATATTTTATTAATTATCTTCTGCTTGTATTCTTGCCAGTAGTTCACCCGAAAATATACGTGTGGGCAGAAGAAGCCAGAAATGTCTTTCATTCAGCAGAGGGCATTTATCAGTCATCACTGGCAAGAAAGAGATGGAATGTGCAAGATTGAAAAGAAAAACAAATAAATATCCAAAGATCAATTCACCAAAGAATAATTATTAACGAAGTAAAAAGTGTTACGGCACCTACAAGGAAAAAAGCAACTTGTCTGTGATTTTTATCAGAAGCAAGCTGTGCAGGTGTAAGGCCACTATTATCAGTGACCAACAAGTCCTCCATCTTACCCGCCTGTACTAAGACTGTGCAAGCTTCTAGATTACCCCTAATAGCAGCCCAGTGGAGAGGAGTGCAACCTGATGCAAAGATGAAGTAGTTAAAAGAGCAGAAAACCAGATAAACCGAATGAAATTCCCTAGAAATGACACTTTAAACCTGAGAATGAAAAAATTACCCTCCTTGTCCTGACGCCCTCTATGTGCATCAAGAAATAAAAGAAGACGTATGGAATCAGTAAAACCTTTATAAGCGGCCCTGGTGTGGTCCATTGAGGGGAAGTTAGAAAAAAACAACAGGCCTCATAATTTTAAACCTCATCACACAATCAAGCAAATTCTAGGGACAATATATTAAGTAATCGGAATATGAAAGAAAACTTGTTAAATTTAATACCTCAAAGAGAGATTTCACTGAAGGAAAGTTGAACACAAATAAAATGAAATACCTAAGTAGGTTAAATTCTTATCATAAAATTGTAATTCAAGATTTACAAATCACTATCATCACTAGGCAACCTGAATTCACAAAATTGAAATCCGTTTTATAATTTTTTTATATAAAAAATAATTAAATAAACAAGCATGCACACATCCACGCACCAACTAGGTGTTTCAAGAGTAGTCTTACTCACCAGCAAATAAATAAAACAATAATTTATTGAGTACCAGAAAAATTGTTCATTATTGAATAGAAATAGCAAAGTAATCAAAGGAAGATAACAAAGCGAAGCTAATGCTACATGAGGAAAAATAATCAACCCTCTCAAATATGACAAAAAAAATGCACATATTTAGTTACAAAAGAAATTAGCAGCACCACAGTGCCTTACCCTAGACCATCAGCATGCAAATTCCTCAAATGCTGGACGAGGAAAATAATCAACCCTCTCAATTATCACACAGAAATGCACATATTTAGATACGAAAGAAAATTGGCACCATAGTGCCTTATCCTAGACCATCAGGTAAATAAGGGTAAGGTGCATGTAGAACTACTCAAGTACCAGTGTAAAGGGCTTCGCCCGTCATTATCAGGAGTAAACTTTCAAAAAGACAAAAAGGAAAAATAGTAAGTTCATCATCAAAAGCAGCGGACAACCGTATAAAATTGCATGTGATTTAGATGATAGCAGAAGGAAAATTTTAGGGAAAAAAGAGTTAGGAAAATATAATGGGGGTTCGGTATGTTAGCAAGCCAGAGCAAATAAGAAAGACAGCATGAAATGCTATGTTTTGAGGCAGTCCTTGAAGGGCCAAACAAGTAGGAGAATAAGGGAGTAAAATCATCTCCAGCAACATATATAAAGTTCACTAAAATGCATTGCAAAAAACATGTCTTCTTTAAGCCTCATAATATCAACATGATCTACTTGTCTTACAGAAACCATAAGTTGATGAGTTATCTTGCCCCTAAAACTACATATAAATAACGTCCATGCATATATCGACCAACTTCAAGTGGAGGAAGAATATTTAAAACAGTTACCCGAAACAATAATTTATATCATGATCATTGTCCCAAATCCATAGTGGGAGACCATACCAATTTCTTGAATAAAAAAATTATAGTACAATGCACCACATTAAAGAAAAGCTAACCTGGTAACCATAGATATCTGCTGCGTCCACCCGAGCACCCTCTTGGAGTAAAACCTCAGCAACTTGTATTGCACCACGGACGGCACTCCAGTGCAAGGCTGTCTGTCCATTATGATCCACAGCATGCACGTCTCCACCATGCTAGCATATCAAGACAACCCAAAATCTACTCAGTTAAACTGGATTTATTCAATATAACTTCAAGAGTAACATGTCACAACTAAACCTTAAAATTCAAACAATTTAAAAAATAATTCGCATATCTCAAAAGCATGTGTTCCCAAAAATACAGTTCACTAAGCACATTAAAACCCAATTCAATATTTAAGAGAAAGCAAATTGAATAAATTAGATACCGAATAAACCCAGTTCAATGAATCCAATAAACTCCAAAACTCAAAATTTTACAACCCAGTTGCAAATTGCAACTTGGACAAAGAAGGCAATTCAGCGAATCAATCAAAATAAACGAATGAAAACCTCGATGATGTACTGAGCAGCGGCGCTTCTATTATTCAAAGCAGCCCACTGGAGGGCATAGTAACCAAGGCCATCAGGCTCGGAAAGAGAGAAGCCCTCGAGCTCAACCAACCTATGGAGTTTCTCCAAATCCCCATAAGCAGCAGCGGTATAGATATCGTTCTTCAAGCTCTCATCATCACCAACAACCCCATGATTCCCTCGCCCGTATTCATTTCCATTCGCTACAGAGTCACCCAATTGCTTCAGAGGTACATCCTCCTCCACCGCCTCGATCTCCGACGACATCTCTTAAAAACCCAACAATCCCAAAAAGGAAAACCAAAATTACAATATTTTTTTCTTTTCTATGTTCCGGGGTTGACTTTGCTGTCCAATGATTGGTTTTAAAATAAAAAAGCGTGCGGCCGGCACTTGGGGGAGAAAGAAGGAAGAGAGGAGGACTGGGATTAGAGGGTGGTGTCCACTTTCCACTTTGGCGTCCGTGCCGTGTTAATTGATGAAGATGAAGCCAAGCCCCAAGGCAAAAGAGCCGAAGCCACTTTGCCTAAGCAATTTTATTCCTAGGAATTTTTGTCAGGGAGCCAGGGTCTTCGTGTTTCAGAAAAGAAATGCAATCCATAGAATTACTGGATTTTTTAAAATATTTGCACATTAAGCTCCCAAATTTATCTATTTTACATCATTGTACACTTGTTTTTTTCCTTTATGGAACTTTTTTTTAGGCTGGCTGGCTGAGCCTGAGTAGCCAAGTTTATCAGTACAAGTTTTAGGAATCATTAGATGACGTGTGGATCTATCTAGACAAGTTAAGCCGTAAAATATATTCCTAGATGTAGTTGATTTATTTATGAGACTTCAAACTGACTTCCAGGCCAAATATTTATCACTTTTTAAATTCAATGTTTTATTTTTGTTTTACAATCCATGATTTGTATTATATTACTATATTCATTATGGGGTGGACTTTAATTGATGGTGGAAACTTATTATTTTGCTTTTTAACACTGTTAATTGCATATAGAAGCTTTGCAGTGATTATGTTTTGCTTTGATAATTTGTAGCTAGATGTAAGATTGTTTTTGCAGACAGGATCAGTACTAAATGGTATGAATGTATCGCTTAATTTGACTTCGGTCGATGAGAGGTAAGGGTATTGCTTTTCTTCTTCAGATTCGATGAACTTCTAAAACTGAAACATCCTGGTCCGGGAAACAAAGATGCGAGTGATGCAAAGGATGATGAGGAAGACGATGATGACGGATCTGATGAGGATTTCTCAGGTGAAGGTGAGGAAGGGGTTCCCGAGGATGACCCTGAAGCCAATGGGGAGGGATGGAGAGTTGAGAAGAAGCCGACTACCACTACAACAATGCGGATAAAGATGTTAACAACGATCATCACCATCCATAGGTCATTGAGAAATTCCAACTCATCTTTCAACCTTGCATATAGAGACCTACTGGGAATTGGCAGGATGGGAGAACAGAGGCAGCATAGGCAAAATTCTGAAACACTAAAAAATAATTCCATAGAAAACACCCACAAAGGCAGGGATACAAGACTTGTTATTAGCAGTTCAACCTTTGTCTATTGAAAGTGCAAATAATAATGTCCAATGTCAATGTTATAAAGTCTCAGAATCACATTACGAGAGAGTGACAATTTATTTTTGCACCAGAGATGATCAACCTTCCTTCTCTACCATTGCTTGTGTGGTAATCATACTGCATGACATCCTACAAATGGGAAAAACACATTATCAGATTAACGAAGTGAATCAAAACCAACCCTACAAGAACTAGTACAATTCACAATTGATTGAAGAACAAAGTTGCAATTTAATAAAGATTGACACATCACATCTCAATTAATACAGCATACAAGCTTGTTTATTTGTCTTATAGCCCCGTATTTTTTTAATTCCAACATAAAAACCATTCAAGGTCATTCCCTTCTCATCATTAAAAGTCAAGTACATAATGCCAACCAATAAACCTATCTTCGCCACAAATGTAGACACCGAAAGAAAGAAGAGAAATCAGACAGGTTAACTAGGACAAAGCTCTTAAGGAAAACAGCAAGTCTCAGGTGATCACTACATAGTTTCTTGATAAAAAGAGAAACCTTTGATAGATGCAACGACTGATGGACTATATGAATTACATTGTCAACATTTCTTAGACATTGATGACCTTAAGCCAGCTATCCATGTCCCATGATGGATGAACTTATGATTCGGAAACTACAAATGCAAATGCGCAAGTTTACACTTTACAATCTATTTGACTCATGTAACCATATGCTGAATACAACTGCAGATGCACATTCACAGCATTTTCACCAGACTTGAGTGCACCAAATGAATTCATTAATAATAAAAAAAAGACATTACAGGATGGCATATGAATGGTTATGATAAAGGCTTCGGCGAACAACCAAAGAGTCGACAATTCTTCTAATTCATAACATTTGAGGGCACCAATAAAACGATCTGCTCTTGCATTCTAGTAACCTCTTTCTAGTTTTCCTATTGGCAACCTATACATTATACAACAATCATTTATACCATAACAAACACGTAGCACTCAGTCTAATCCAATCACAAAAACACCCTTTTTTGGTCCCAAGGCAAAACATAGCAGAATATTCATTAGCAAGATTTCTACTAGTCAATGGAGTTAAGTATCCAATTTTTTATATATTCTTGACACTGTAAAAGAAGATTAAATCACCTTGCAATTTAAACAAGTTCGTAACCACGAAACTACAACACAAGCAAATTATTATCACCAAATTCCCACAATGATGAGCGAACCATCTTCCATGTATCAACTTTTGATGCAAGGAACTAACCTCAAATTCACTTTGCTAAGGCAACTTCCCAGACCTAAAAACAGCAAACTTTGTCATCTTAGAGTACGAATAAGCAACCCCATTTTCCTTCAAAAACTCCTCAAGCAATTTCTTAACGCCATCAGGATCCTCACTTTCACATTCGATCTCGTAGCATGTCCCAAATTCATACTTAGTCTCATCCACTTCCAGCTTCAGATTTTTCCAATCAAAAACCTCTCTTTTATTCTCAAACCCACCTAAACAAACAAATCCCATTTCTTCTCCAACCCCAAACTCCTCCTTAACCCTCTTCAGAATCCTCGACTCAATCTTCGCCAACCTCGCTGGGTCATCCACGCAAGCGCGTGCAGCACACGGATCTAGTTCCTCTTCATCTTCCTCCACGCGACTGACACCATCTACCAGAGTAGGTTTGGATTTGAGGGAAACGATACAGCGGGCGTCCTTGTCGAGGAAGCGGAGGCGAAGAACGGAAAATTGGGAGGAAAGGGTATTTGTTGGGGTGTCGAAGAAGAGGTTTTCTTGATGGAGGGTTTTGGAGAGGAAACGAGAAAGGATGGTGGTTAATTGACGGTGGGCGGCGGCGTCCTGGAGGCGGAGCTTGACTTCGACTTCCATTAGGGGGAAAGACCGATGCGTTGAACTTTGGAGGTGGGGTTAGGGTGGGAGCGATCGAGGAGGTGCAGAAGGGAGGAAGAGGAGGTGTTGGTGGTGGTGGAGGCAGTGGGAGGAGGTGGAGGTTGACGGGACTCCTCGAGTTCTTGCTTGTCTTCGGGCTTGACTTCGATCTTGGTGGGTTTTCTTCTAAGCATTTCCTAGGGCTTCAAAAAGGGAAAAGAGAAGAATTTTGGGCATAGAACGATGAGATTGTTTTCTGCATATTATCGTGATGAGTTCAAACGCAAAAATATCGGAACGATCACACCATCTTATAATTATTTTATAAAATTAGAAACAAATACAAATATTTTAAAATAAACATTGGTATAAAAGGAGTGTTTTATTTATGTTTACATTTCATGGTTTGTATTATATTACTTATTTTGTATAAATTAATAGTTGCTCCCTCTAGTCTGCAGCCATGTCTGTGGTCCACCTTCCACTTGTTTCTGATCTTTAATTATATTAACAGTGTTAATATCCATCATATGGTGGACTTGAATTGATGATGGAAACATATTATTTTTGGACTTTTTTTTAACATTGTTAATTGCATATAGAAGTTTGCAGTGTTTGTGTTTTGCTTTGCTAATTTCTAGCTAGATATGCAGACAGGGATACGAATGCATCGCTTAATTTGACTGCAGTAGATGAGAGTTGAGGAGATTCCATTTCTTTTTCTACTTCATTTACTGGTAATGGTTGGTGGGGTCGGTTTCTTTCAGGTTTCCGATGAACTTCTAAAAATGGAACACAGTGGTCCAGAAAACAAAGATACAAGTGATGCAGAGAAAGATGGACGAGGATGACAACGCTGATCTGATGGGGATTTCTCAGGTGAAGGTGAGGAAGGAGATCCCGATGATGACCCTGAAGTCAATGGGGATGAATGGAGAGTTAAGAAGAAGATGACAACGACAATGATGCGGATAAAGATGATGACAACAACGATCATCACCATCCATAGGTCATTGAGAAATTCCTACTCATCTTGCAAACTTGCATTTAGAAACCTACTGGGAATTGGCAGGATGGGAGAAAAGAGGCAGCATAGGCAAAATTCTGAAACACAATAAAAAATAATTTCATAGAAAACACGTCTGTCGTAAGAGTAAAATAATCATGCCCATTCCATTGCCAATGATAAAAGGTCTCAGAATCACATTAAGAGAGTAGAAGTTTTTTTTTTTTTTTTTTGCACAAGAGATGATCAACCTTGCTTCTCTACCATTGCTTGTGTAATAACCATACTGCATGACATCCTACAAATGGAAAAAGCCCATTATCAGATTAATGAAGTGAATCGAAATCAACTCTGCAAGAATTAGTAGACTTCACAGCTGACTGAAGAACAAAGTTGCAATTTAATTAAGATTAATAAATTGCATTTCAATTAATACAGCATACTGCATACAACCCAGTTTATTTGTCTTATAGCCAAGTATTCTTTTATTCCAACATAAAAACTATACAATGTCATTCCCTTCTCATCATGAAAAGTCAATTAATTAACACCAACCAATAAGCCTGTCCTCGCCACAAATCTAGACACGGAAAGAAAGAAGAGAAATCAGAGGTTCATTAGGACGAAGTTCTTAAGGAAAACAGCAAGTCTCAGGTGTCACTGCATAGTTTCTTGATAAAAAGAGAAACCTTTGCTAGAAGCCACGATTGACGGCTATATGAATTACATTGTCATTATTGCTTAGACATTGATGACCTTACGCCTGCCATTCATGTCCCATTATGGATATACTTGTGATTCTGAAACTACAAATGCAAATGTGCAACTTCACATTGACACAGGGATTGCTAAAACTCAATAAGTTAGCCTTTACCATCTATTGACTCATGTAACCATATGCTGAATACAGTTGCAGATGCACATTCACTGCATTTACGCCAGACTTGAGTGCACCAAATGAATTCATTAATTAAGAAAAAAAAAGACATTACAGGAGATGCTTACATGTAGGGAACCAATAAAACTATCTGTTCTTGCATTTTAATATTCTCTTTCTAGTTTTTCTTTCATCACACTAAAATCCAAAGGCATGGTTTTCATCATTCAAGAATTGAGACATAGTATTTGCAACCTATACATTACACAACACTCATATATAACATAACAAACATGTAGCACTCAGTCCAATCCAATAACAAACACACCCTTTTTTGGTCCCAAGGCAAAAACATAGCAGAATATCAATTAGCAAGGTTTCTACTAGTCAATGGAGTTAAGTATCCAATTTTTATATTTGTCAAAGGAGTTATCTTGTTTTCTCTCTTTCCACATAATTGCTGCTACATTGAATTGACGAACAAGAAATAACTTCATTCTTCTTTTTCAAAAATGATACTTGGCATTGTAAAAAAGATTAAAACACCTTAGCAATTTAAGCAAACTCGTAACCAGGAAACCACAACACAAACAAATTATTATCACCATCTTCCAAGTAACAACTTTTGATGCAAGGAACTAACCTCAAACTCACTTTGCTAAGGCAGCTTCCCAGACCTTAAAACAGCAAACTTTATCATCTTAGAGTACGAATAACAAATCCCATTTTCCTTCAAAAACTCCTCAAGCAATTTCTTAACGCCATCATGATCCTCACTTTCACATTCGATCTCGTAACATGTCCCAAATTCATACTTAGTCTCATCCACTTCCAGCTTCAGATTTTTCCAATCAAAAACCTCTTTTTTATTCTCAAACCCACCTAAACAAACAAATCCCACTTCTTCCCCAACCCCAAACTCCTCCTTAACCCTCTTCAAAATCCTCGACTCAATCTTCGCCAACCTCACCGGGTCATCCACGCAAGCGCGTGCAGCACACGGATCTAGTTCCTCTTTATCTTCTTCCACGCGACAGACACCATCTACCAGAGTAGGTTTGGATTTGATGGAAACGATGCACTTGGCATCCTTGTTGAGGAAGCGGAGGCTAAGAACGGAAAGTTGGGAGGAAAGGGTATTTGTTGGGGTGTCGAAGAAGAGGACTTCTTGGTGGACGGTTACGGAGAGGAAAGGAGAAAGGATGGTTGTTAATTGATGGTGGGCGGCGGCGTCCTGGAGGCGGAGCTTGACTTCGACTCCCATTAAGAAGAAAGACCGATGCGTTGAACTTTGGAGGTGGGGTTAGGGTGGGAGCGATCGAGGAGGTGCAGAAGGGAGGAAGAGGAGGTGGTGGTGGTGGTGGAGGCAGTGGGAGGAGGTGGAGGTTGACGGGACTCTTCGAGTTCTTGCTTGTCTTCGGGCTTGACTTCGATCTTGGTGGGTTTTCTTCTAAGCATTTCCTTAGGCTCAAAAAAAAAGAGGACAAGATAAGAACGATGGCATGAAGTTTACTACAAATTTTCCTGATGAGTTCAAATGCAAATTGATGATCATAATTATTAAGGGTAAAGTATATAAATAGTACCTCAACTTTTAAAAATGTTGCATTTTGGTCACTAAACGTTTAAAACTTATCAATAAGATTTCTGCCGTTACCGTTAGTTAATTTTTGCTAAAGTGGTACTTAACTGCCGTTACCTGATTGCTCTCCATTTGTGGGTTGTTTGGATGAATCTGGGATTTTCTTGGGGATTCCGAGAAAAAATATAGGGATTGAATGTCCATGCTTTGGTCTTCAAATTCTCTGGCTTATCCAAATCTATCCCTTTGAAGCTAACAGATCCTTCCAAAATCATCTTCTCCAAGCCTAATGATTTCAGAATGGTGGGCTCTGAATCTGAGATTTTGAAACTGATGGATCTAAGTGGTGTTTTGATACCTTCATCTCCAAAACTAATGGATTTCACAGTGATTGATTCTAAGCTGCCATTGCCCATCTCTGTGCTGTTCCATTTATCAAATGACCACGATAAACCAACACCCATCTCTGTCAAACAAACTGAATCAATATTTCATATGATAAACATTTACATCTATATATGTAATATATGTGAACAACCATTTTTGAGAATCAAGAATTCATGTTGAAGATAACTCATTTTTCAAAATGTCAGTACAAAGGGGGAAAATCATTCCATTCAATCAAGAAAATCAAATAAAGAGATACGGATCTGCCAAAACCATTAAGTAAAAGCAATTCCCAGAAGCTTAGAACATTCATTTCATCAACAAAACAAAAACAACATTTGACAGCAATGTAGGAGAGATGGACAAAGAACATTACCTTGAATTATATAAAATCTAGGAAAGAAACGAAAATGAAAAATAGGGTACTGTCGGGTTAATGCTTTAACTTTGATATCAGCATTTTTTTCCTTCACTTTCTCTATGTTTGTTTCTCAGGAAAATGTATAGTACCAGCGATAATTTGTACCTGGGGTTGCTTATAAATTTAGGGTTAACTAAATGGAAAATTAATTATGTTTATGTTTTATCAACTTTTAGTCACTGACTTAAAAAAGATATGGTTACTTTCGTTTTTATTTAACTAAGATGTGGTCACATCGAATTAGCTATCGTTAATCGCAGTTAAATATTTTTAATATAATCACACATTTGGTCAATGTTATTTATATATTCTCTCAATTTAGTCATACTTTTAATAAATTAAAATAAATTTAATCATCCAATCGAATGATGTCATATGTCATGCCACGTAGGGGTGAGCATTCGATCGAGTTGAGTCAAAAAATATGAGTTATTCGAGTTGACAAGTCCTATTTTATGACTCGAAGTTGACTTGAAATTTTTTAGAATCAAGTCGAGTCAAATTTTTGAGTTTATGTTTAAATTTATTATAAATATTTATAATATTATGATATTATTTGATTCCAATTTAAATGGTCTTTTATAACGATATACAATATATGTGTATTTCTTCATATTTTTTCATATGTGATATACATTTATGATACAGAGTTGAGGGACTCAACTCAAACTTGAAAATCAATCCCCTAATTTATAAAAATTATTAGTTATTTGAGTTGTATTTTACAAATTGGTTTGAACTTGAAATTTTTTTAGTCGAGTTTATGAAATTACAACTCAAAGTTAATTCGAGTCAAGTTTTCAAGAGTCGAGTTGAATTTTGCTCACCCCTAATGCCACGTGTCACTATTTGGTTGAAGAATTGAC